ATCAGTTCAAGTGCCGAAAATTGTTTCATTTCTCAAATATTTCTCACATTACCTAGGTAATCTGCAAATTACCTAGATAATCTGCACATTACCTACTAGGCACTCGTTAAAGTGCAAAAATCAAGTTAATACAATCATGAATCCAGTTATTTATTTGTCGATATCTAAGAAGAAATTACAGTAATTTAATGGGGTGGATGGCTATCTGACTTAAAAGATTTAACAGCGAACTTGGCACAGGAAAGGGTTACTTACTATAAGGAGAATAAAAGATAAGGGAGGATTCGCTGCCTGAAGATGTCCTGATATAAAAAAAAATAAATATATAAATCTGGTCTTGAGTAGCTTCAAATGACTGCATTATTATGGACATTGCCATGTCTAAAATTGGGAGAGATGGGAGCATTGCTCACATGGGCTGTAACCCCCTCCATTGCTCTGTAGGGATATTTATCTGGTGAATTGTGACATGGGGGGGGGGGGGAGAAAGGGAGAAATGGAGAAAGAACAGTTCTGGCACTGTCTAACCAGATGCAGGAGCATTGGCAATGAATCTGCTCCGGACAATGTGATTTTGTTGCTGCATGAAACTTTTCTTCATTTTTGGTTTCACCTGTTTCTCTCAGTTAAACCAAAAAAGATGAGAGAAACAAACAACTTTTGCACTTTAAGAATACAGAAGTCGTTAATGTGCACATTGCCTAGGTAAAGTGTGGAAAACTCTTGATTCCTCACATTAACGGAGCAAGTCAGCTAATCTGCAGATTAACTAGGTAATGTGCACATTAACAGATTTCTCACTTTAGCGGTAACATACATATTGGTAGAGAGGACTGATCTATTGGTAGTGTCAGTTCTTTAAATGAACCAATGTCTTGGTGATCATGTATATAGTGGATGCACAATAATATGTCAAATTAAGGTATACAAATCAGGTCAAAAGTGGAAGGGGGTAGATTTACAGAGGGAAAGATTGTGAAGTTGTTTTGGTAATAAGGAAGTGCTGTACATTCATATATTTGTTACATAGTTACATAGCTGAAAAGAGACTTGCGTCCATCAAGTTCAGCCTACCTCACATTTGTTTTTTGCTGTTGATCCAAAAGAATGCAAAAAAACCCAGTTTGAAGCATAATTTTGCAACAAGCTAGGAAAAAAATTCCTTCTTGACCCCAGAATGGCAGTCAGCTTTATCCTTGGATCAAGCAGTTATTACCCTACATTGAAAGATTATATCCTTGAATATTCTGTTCTTGCAAGTATGCATCTAATAGCCGTTTGAACATCTGTATGGACTCTGATAAAACCACTTCCTCAGGCAGAGAATTCCACATCCTGATTGTTCTTACAGTAAAAAAACCTTTCCTTTGCCTTAGACGAAATCTTCTTTCTTCCAGTCTAAACGCATGGCCTCGTGTCCTATGTAAAGTCCGGTTTGTGAATAGATTTCCACATAATGGTTTGTATTGGCCCCGAATATATTTGTATAATGTTATCATATCCCCTCTCAGGCGACGTTTTTCTAAACTAAATAGGTTTAAATTTGTTAACCTTTCTTCATAGCCGATATGTTCCATTCCTTTTATTAATTTTGTAGCCCGCCTCTGCACTTTTTCTAGTGCCATAATATCCTTCTTTAGAACAGGTGCCCAAAATTGCACAGCATATTCAATATGGGGTCTTACCAGTGATTTATAAAGAGGCAAAATGATATTCTTGTCCCGAGAATGAATGCCCTTTTTCATGCATGACAATACCTTACTGGCCTTGGCCACTGCTGATTGACACTGCACATTGTTGCATAGTTTGTTGTCTATAACAATTCCCACCTCCTTTTCATGTGTTATCCCTAATTCGCTTCCATTTAGGGTATACGTTGCTTGTGTATTCTTTACGCCGAAGTGCATAACTTTGCATTTTTCAACATTAAATTTCATCTGCCATTTGAGTGCCCAGTCCCCAGTCTATCTAAATCCCTCTGCAGCAAAGTAATATCTTGCTCACATTGTATTGTTTTACAAAGTTTGGTGTCATCTGCAAACACTGAAACATGACTTTCAATGCGGTCTTCAAGATCATTTATAAACATGTTAAATAGAAGGGGTCCCAGCACAGACCCCTGAGGGACACCACTTGCCACCTCTGTCCAGCTTGAAAATTTACCATTAATGACAACTCTTTGTACTCTGTTTTTAAGCCAATGTTCTACCCAAGAACAAGCATTTTCATCTAGACCGATTTCCTTGAGTTTGAACACTAATCTATTGTGTGGAACTGTATCAAATGCCTTGGCAAAATCCAAAAAGATCACATCCACGGCAACACCCTGATCAATACTTCTACTTACTTCTTCGTAGAACGCAATCAAGTTAGTTTGACATGACCTGTGCTTCATAAAACTATGCTGATTTTTGCTGATAACCATGTTCTTCTCAAGGAATTCTTGAATATTATCCCTTAATAACCTTTCAAATATTTTACCAGCCACAGAAGTTAAGCTCACAGGTCTATAATTTCCAGGCAAGGATTTTGAACCCTTTTTGAATATAGGAACCACATCTGCCTTCCTCCAATCCTCCGGAACACTTCCTGAAAGAAAAGAATCTTGAAAGATTAAAAACAGAGGTTCACTTATTTCTGCACTTAGTTCCTTAAGTACACGTGGATGGATACCGTCAGGCCCTGGAGCTTTGTTTATATTAACTTTCTTTAGTTGCTGCAGCACCTTGTCTTGAGTTAACCAATTACAATTATTCTGCAAGTTTTTAGTAGCAATCATTTGCACATCTATTGCCATGGGTTCTTCCTTAATATATACGGAGGAGAAATAGTTATTTAAAATTCCTGCCTTTTCCTGGTCTTCATTAATTAACACCCCCGTTTCAGTTTTTAGTGTACCTACACTTTCATTTTGTTTTTTTTTAGAATTTATGTACTTAAAAAATGCTTTGGGGTTGGTTTTGCTCTCTTCAGCTATCATTATTTAATTTTGAAGTTTAGCAAGTCTAATTGCCTTTTTGCACGCATTATTTGCATCCTTATATCTTTTATAAGATGCATCTGATTTGTCCAATTTAAATGCTTTAAATGCCCTTCTCTTAGTTGTAATCTCTTGTTTTACTTCTCTACTAAGCCACGTTGGTTTTAATTTGTTTCTTTTATATTTATTTCCCAATGGTACATACTGAGAAATGTACCTTTGTAATATTTGTTGGAAGATGATCCATTTATCCTCAGTGTTCTTTTCACTAAAGAGTTTATGCCAGTCAATATATTGTAAAGCTTCCCTTAACTTATTGAAATTGGCCTTTTTAAAATTATATGTTTTAGTATTCCCCATGTGCTTTTGTTTTTTTGAGTTTATTTCAAAGGACACTATATTGTGATCACTATTTCCCAAGTGCTCACCTACTTGAATGTTGGTCAAAAGATCAACGTTGTTTGTTAAAACCAAGTCCAGACAAGCATCCATTCTAGTTGGTGCTTGTACAAGTTGTGACATGAAGGTGTCATTTAACAAGTTTAAAAACCTAATTCCCTTTGCTGAGGCACTAGTCCCTCTGTCCCAATTTATATCAGGGTAATTAAAATCTCCAATAATTAAAGTGTTACCCAGATTTGCAGCTTTCTCAATTTGCTCAAACAGCTGTTGTTCCTCGTCAATATTAACATTAGGTGGTTTATAACATATCCCAACCAATAGTTGGTTTCCCTTGTTTTCCCCCAAGCAGATATTTACCCATAAAGCTTCCACATTATCCTCCTCGCATTCCATTTGCTTAACATTTGGCTTTAAATCATGTTTGACATACAAACATACCCCACCACCCTTCTTGTTTTTCCTATCCTTCCTAAATAACATGTACCCATTTAAGTTAGCTGCCCAGTCATGTGTCTCATCCCACCATGTTTCAGTTATGCCTATTATATCATATTGTTTAGTGTATGCTAATGCCTCTAGTTCCCCCATTTTGTTATTTAGGCTCCTTGCATTAGTAAGCATACATTTAATATTATGCGTCACTTGTATATTTTGTGAATTTTCAACATTACACAGCTTCTCTGTTCTGAGCTTGCCCCTCCCCCCGTTTCCACCCCCCTTATACTGTGCTAAAGCCCATCTCCTTTCTGTCCTATCTCCATTTTGTAGATTGCTATGACCCTCCCCCCCTACTACTAGTTTAAAATCTCCTCCAACCTTCTAGCCATCCTATCCCCCAGCACTGCAGACCCTCTCCCGTTTAGGTGCAATCCATCACCACTATGCTCTAAAAACACAAAACCCTCCTTCCTGCACCAAGATTTAAGCCACGCATTGACCTCTCTAATCTCCCGCTGCCTTTCCACTGTAGCACGTGGCACATGTAATCTCAGAGAATACCACCTTGGAGGTCCTTTTCTTAAGTTTGCTACCTAATTCCCTGAAATCATTCTTTAGGACCTTCCATCTTCCTCTTACTTTGTCATTGGAACCAACATGGACCATGACCGCTGGGTCATCCCCAGCCCCTCCCAATAATCCATCCACTCTGTCAGCAACATGCCGGACCCGAGCACCCGGGAGACAGCAAACTGTCCGGTTGAGCCGATCAGAGCGGCAGATTGCCCTATCTGCTCTCCTAATGATAGAGTCCCCTACCACCACAACCTGTCTTGCCTTCCTTACATTTTGATCCCCACCCGTACTAGGGGGGCTGTTAGCTCAGCTGTTAGAAGTAACAGCTTCCTCTAATACAGCTACTCCTGAGCTGATGCTCCCAACATCTTCCCTCAAACGGGCAAATCTGCTAGGTTGCACCAAATCAGGACTAGCTAGCCCTTTCCTCTTCCCTCCCCCCCTGCTTCCTCGCCCCACTGTCACCCAGCTACATGCCTGTTCCCCATCTGTCTTATCTCCTCCCTCTCCACTACCTGTCCCCACTAAACTCTGCTCAGTGAGCAGTAGACTCCTCTCAAGATTGTCAATCTCCCTCAATGTTGCGATTTGCTTCTCGAGATCTCCAATCTGAGCTTCCAGAGAAGCCACTCGCACACAACCATCACAGAGGTATGGACCCTGGACGGGTACATCCAGGCATCCATACATGCAACAAGATGTGCATTGAGTTAAACCAGCAATCTTGCTAACACTCATTTCCCCTTTAAACAGTAAATAAAAACAATTACCTTGATAGTTTGAACCCCTTGTTTGTTTTCACTCCTGGTTTTCTAACTCCTACTTGAAAGAGTCTAATAGAGGCTGCTTTCAAATAATGTGAGCAAGCTCAGTGAGTTAGGGGTGTGCCTTTATGGGGATACAAATCCCACACAGGTGTAATTAATGAACACTCCCCCAATCAATCGAGCAGCAGCACAAAAAGGGGGGAACCAGAATAGGGGAAAAAGTAAATTTAAAAAAACAAATTTTTTTTTTTTCTTTTAAACCTTACCAACTTTGTATATACATATTTATATAAAAAATTGGATTATAGGTTATAAGGCAAATGTTTTAATCAGATATAAATGAAGTGTATGAAAATCCTTCATTTAATCCAGACTGGGATAGTGTTTAGTTTGTAAATCCAGAAACTTTCTCTCTGTAGTAGTTTCTTGTCTAGGTCACCTCTTCTTGGGCCCAAGTCAACACCCACATACAGCGTTTCCTCTCTGTGAGCGTTACAATTTTATACTCTTAATATGACCTTGCTTTGTGCAGAACTCATTAAATCTAGAAAGGATGTAGGGAATCAAATCTTGTGTGGACTGACTTACTACAAAATTAGTTGAAGCTACACTGTACTCGCCAAAACAACTGAAGCTTAATGTAGCTATTTTAGTGTATAGATAATGCCCCTGCAGTGTAACTGCTCAAATCCATTCCATTTAGGAGTTAAATTAATTTGTTTATGCAGCCCTAGTCACACCTCCTAAAAGCTTTCTGAAAAGTGAGATCTAATGTTTATATGTCCTTTATTTAGAATTTCTTATCTCTTGCCTTCTGTATGTGATTAATGTTCAAATTATAAAGAGGGAGATAAAAACTTCTAAAGCAAGTTACCAAGTGGTGTAAATTGAAACTATTGTGTATACTAGTGTACGCCACAGCCAGGGAAGGTGTGGCTAGGGCTGCATGGAAAGAAACATAAGTGATTTATACTCTAAGTGGCAGTGAATTGAGCCATGAGACTTCAGAAGCATGACCTATTCACAAAAACTGCGTCATTAAGCAAAGTGGTTTTGGTGACTTCAGTGTCCCTTTAAGGTAAAGTCTGACTTTGCATTCTGCAAATACTTTTGCTGCTCTGGTCTCCCTAACACTGTGACATGTCTTTCTTCTACACTCATTATATCCACGTCTTGCTCTGTCTTAGATTGCATACGAGGAGCGTCTGACTACTAGTAAAAAGGTAAAGAGAGAAGTGGACAAGTGAGTGCTGGGGGACAGTCCCCAGAAAGCGTAGAGCACAAGTTTAAATAAAAAAACAAAAAAAAACAAAAACAATCCTTGTAAATTTCTTATTCTTACCCAAGATTTGACTTCTGGACCCACGAATCAGAAATATACTGGAGCGCAATTGCATTAGTTCCATTTCCCTTAAAAATTTAAATAATTCCTAACTATGTATTCCCTGACTGACAGCAAATGACCCATTTGACAGATAGAAATTTTACTGTAGCTGACATAATGTCATCTATATTTTAGAATTGTGCATTTCTACTTCTGCTGTTCTTCTAGTTACTATGCATTCATATCACAAGACTTGTACATTTATGGTTGTTCAAAATGTTGTTATTGCCAGGGAGGTGGATCTAAAATTAGAATATGACCTAAGATACATTCCTAAAATAACATCCTAGCATAAAATTTCATAAGAATATATTCCGATTTATAAAGTATTAGTCAAATAGGTTTCAATATAAATAGTAACACTGAGTGTTTAACTTACCAACACATTATGTAAATTACTTTACTTAATAGACTTGTGTTTTCATTTCAGGCAAATTGCAATTCATCTGAATTTAGGCCTATCATCTAGTTGTCCAAATTACATATCTTTGAAACATACTGTAATTGCTCAGTCGCTGAGTTATAGCTTGTTAAATTTTGATTCTCCGATCCAGCTCAGAGTTCGAGGAGTGTGGCTGGTTAGTCCTGGTCACATAATGGGGTTCCTATTATGTCCCTCTACAGCTAATCATCAAGCACCCTAGCTGTCCAAATAGCAACCAGATTGGTGGTCGTATGACTGAGCGAAACCCAATCAAAGATTCACTGGTCTGCAGTTCCAATTCAACAAACAGTCCTAGAACGTTTCAGGGTATCTCTTGGTCAAGCGCTCAATGTGCAGGATGGGTCTAGGCAATCCCCAGAGGTCCCCAATTCTGCCTGGGAGGTACAGTAGCATCTCCATGCCCCCTCCAACTAGTGAAAATAGCTCTTTTTAGTAGATGTTGGGAACAGGCCCGCAGTTCAAGAGGAGGAGGCTGGCCTTCACGCTTCTCCAAAAAGGTCATGTCCCTGGAACTTCCAAATAAATAAAAAAAATTAAAAATCAATGTAAGCCCATTCAAGGTAGAAAAGACTCTTATAAAAGCCTTCCCATCATTGAATGCTCAGTCATACTCAGGTTGTCTTGGAAACTGCAAAAGTGTATCTTGAACACATGAGAAAATCCTGTACTGAAGGAAAGAAATGTTATGTATTACCAGCCTCAAGAGGGCCAGGCTAAACCTCTCTTAGCAGACAACAAAAAGAACAGTCCAAGGTCATTGAAAACAAAAATAAGGATCAAGAAAATGAGCCAAGTTCTAGGATTCCAGAATTCAGAGTAGCTGAAACTAGAAAACACACACACTACAAAAAACACACTCTTGGGTAACTGAGATCATGGTAGAAATGTGAGGAGAGTGTGGTGCAGGTTTAAATAGCCCAGAGAAAAATGATATTGGTTGGCATTATTTAGGACATCAAAACATGTGCAACCGACGTCACTGAAAGGATGCATACCATTGTGGTTCTGAAATAAGCAATTTATAAATATATAATATGTGAGTAAGGGAAACTATAAGTATACGGCATAGTCGATCTGGCAAGCTGGAAGTACTGCATCAATATGTGTACAACAGCATATGGAAAGTGCAGAGGCTGTGCAAGATACCAACCAACTGATTGTACAGCACAATCTATTGATTCTGCTTTAGGGCAAATTATATTGTTTTGGACTAATCTACGCAATTTGTATTGTCGATCTGTAATTGTAACTAAGCCTCGAATGCATAACATAGATGATTATTGTACAGAGCTTCATCCCATGACATATAACTAGAGTTGAGCAAACCCGAACTGAAAAGTCCGGGTTTGTACCGAACATTAGGTTTTTTGGACCCCGGACATATCACTGTATATCCATGTTGGAGTTCGGTGTTCAGCAATTTAATGGTGTGTTTTCAAAGGCTGAAAGGAAGCCAATCAACAAGCGTTTGACTCGTGTGCCCTTAGAAGCCATCACAGCCATGCCTGCTAATGGCATGGCTGTGATTGGCCAGTGCACCATGTGACCCAGACTCTATATATAAGCTGGAGTCGCGTGGCACGCACATTCGTTTTATTAGTGTAGGGAGAAGATGCTGCCACTGATAGGGACAGCTTAAGAAATAATTCTGCAAACTAGAACATTAGTGGGGTGGGGTGCAAATAGAAGCTTCAAATACCGTGGTTACATCTGAGTTTTAAAAAGTAATTTATTTTGGTGCTAAATAGTACATTAGTGGAGTAGTACGTTAGTGGGGTGCACTTCATATCTAGAAGCGTCTAATAGTGTGCTTTCTGCGCACTTGTAAACATTCTAATTGTTTTGCTGCTAATCTTCTAAATAGTACATTTTGGGGCATGCACTTCATATCTTAGAGTCAAATAGAAACGTCTAATACTGCGGTTACAATGCAATTGTAAACATTCTAATTGTTTTGCTGCTAAACAGTACATTTTGGGGCCTCTTCATATCTGAGAGTCAAATCGAAGCGTCTAATAGTGTTCTTTCTGCGCACTTGTAAACATTCTAATTGTTTTGCTGCTAATCCGCTAAATAGTACATTTGCGGCCTGCAGTGCACTTTATATCTGTGAGTCAAATAGAAGCATCTAATAGTGCACTTACAGCGCATTGGTAAAAATTCTTATTTTCTAGGTGCTAATCTGTTAAATAGTACATTTTGGGGCCTGTTCTTCAAATCTGTGTGTCAAATCAAAGCGTCTAATAGTGTGCTTTGTAGCAGGCTGGCCGAGTCTTGGGTTATAAACAACAGAAACAGTTCTTTCTTCCAATCTGAGGGAAGCTTTATCTAGCAAGCAGGCCCCAATTGAGCCACAGCAAAACATGAAAACCAAAATAAACACCTACTCCACACTGGAGACTAACTAACAGAGTACCCTTTCTATGCTACTGGGCAGTTAACCCCTTCAGGACGGGTGACGGACGAGGTCCGTCACAGAGGGGAGACCCTTAACGACGGGTGACGGACCTCGTCCGTCACGTGGTAAAATTAACCCCGGATCGCCGCTATTGCAGCGATCACGGGGTTAATGGTGCTCCCGGTATGCCTCTGCATTAGAGGCATACCGGGAGCACCCGGTCAGGCTGCCCAGCACATATGCTCGCTCTGACCGCAAGTCAGAGCGAGCACATGTGCTCTGTATACTCACCTACCGGCTCCCTGCACTTCCGGGTTCTGTGTGAAGTGCAGGGAGCCGGATCAGTGATGATCCTGCCCCCTGCTGTTAAAAAAAAAATAAAGTTAAAGTGTCCCCCTCCTTACCCATTTTAATAAAAAATTAACCCATTCCCTGCCAATTGATCACTGACTACAGTGATCAATTGGCAGGGATTACATTTTACTATGATCTGATGGTTAATTCTTTTTTTTTTTTAACCCTCAGGGGTTAAATTAATTAAATTAATTAAATTATTTTTAAATTATATATTTAGATAGCTGGGGTGGGTGGAAGTTAGTGGGGAATTGGGGGATTTGGCGTTAGGCTAACTAGGGGTTAACGTTAAAAAAAGTTTTAAAAGAAACTTTAAAAAGTTAAAAATTAAGCTTAAAAAAATGTTTTAATAACATTTAAGTAAAAAAAACAAAAAAAACGGGGGCGGAGCTAGCATCCGACGGCAACGGTCGCTCTCTGCTTGAGCTCCGACAAACGGGCACGAAAAACGCCCTAATCCTGCT